GAACTTATTAATCATCATAATGTGAACTCATTTTTTTTCGAAATGAATCTGTTATATATATATATATATATATATGTAGGTTTGCTTCAAAGTAAATTGCTGCTGCTCAGTCTGCTCATTAACTTTTTTTAAGAGAAAAAATGCCTGAAATGCTTCCCATCACTTTCTTCCCGAAGGGTTTATATCCACTTGCAATTTAAAAAAAAATCCATTTTTTTTTTAATTTTCCAAACGCACATATATTTGAGAATATTTTCCGAAAATTTGAAGTTAATCCGACAAATAGTCTCGGAGATAAATATGATCTCATCGTTAAGGACATCTCGTGGTATTCGAAAATAGGCGAAGCGCAGGACGGAGTAGTTTAACTTAGTTGAAATGGTTCGTAAAAACTTTAAATGAGTTTTTCTCGAAACGCTGTTTTCAGATTCGGTGAAGGAAATTTCTCTGAAACGGTTGTACCGATCAGCTTACAATTTTCACATGAGCTTCTAAGGCATATTTCTTAGATAATGAGCGAAGGAAGAAAATTTTTGACAATAATTTTCTCTCACAAAAAATTAATTCCTTTTGAAGCCGCCATTTTGTCAGAAATCAAAATTTTCACTAGACCTTTGATCATTACCTGGCTTCAACCATTATAATACACATTTTTTTTTTTGGTTTTCGGGTTTCAGATAATTTGAAGAAGAAATATCTTCGTCACCGCCAGGCACCTTTTTTGGAGGTGCTACTGGAGACCGACTACGGTGATGAGAGAATCCACTATTTTTTTTTAAATGAATCCTTTATTGTTAAGCTACATTAAATTATGTTTATATGGATTTTTTTCTATATTTTATAGCAAAAAATGCCTCTCAAAAAAAAAATAATAATAATAACAAATACAAGCATTTATTTAATTTTGCAAGTGGATATAACCCCTTAAATGACACCTCTGCCAAAGGTTTTTTGCATCGTCAACATCTCTATCGTTGCTTTCTTCATTTGTAGCTATCGCAGTTAAAACTTCGCCATTGGCTAGTGATCATGAGACAGTAACATCTTCATCCACTGGAACAAAGTTGGGAAAACTCAAACCGTTGATGTCAACTAGTGGTTCTATTGTTGGTTCGTCATCTTCCATAATTATTGGAAGATTTTTCTGATATTTTTTTGTGAAGCCAACCGCATTTTCGAAACAGTTAACAATCGTTAGATGTCTTACAGTTCACCATGTCTTAGCTTTTAATGAAATAAATCTTAGAACAATTACAATTTGCGAAAAAAAAAATTATTAATCCATAATTTTTTGGTTGCAATTTAGAAGTTGTATTTGGCGTACAGAAGGAAACTTTTACAATAGGAACAATACAGGAGGACTTTTGTGGACAGTATATTTTTCTGAACAGTGTAAAATTTATTTTCAATTGTTGCCAATTGTTACAAAATTACGTCGTCAACCAAGTTTTTTTTTTACTTAGCGAGAAAATCAGTAGGAAACGTTTGCACTACTTTGAAACTTTGTGGTTTCGTTACTTTTTCTATTAGAAGATTTTAAGTTTTTCCGATCCGTTCCTATTTTCTGCAAATAATAATATGGCTGCTTGTTATGATATTAACAGCCTAATTCAATACGTTAATACCATCTGTTAATGATTTAACATGATCTGTTAATGATTTGGCATTATCTGTTAACGATTTAAAATGCTCTGTTATCGATTTAAAATGATCTGTTAATGATTTAGCATTATCTGTTAACGATTTAAAATGATCTGTTAACGATTTAACATGATCTGTTAACGATTTAACATGATCTGTTAACGATTTAACATGATCTGTTAACGATTTAAAATGATCTGTTAATGATTTAACATTAACGACAGCTTTACATTTCGGTTAAAAACGAAAGGAAATTTTTTGTGATTAACTGCTTTAGCGTTAATATTCTCAAATATTTCACCAAAACGATAGAAATTTTTAGATTAACGTGAAATTTGTCGTAACGTTGTAGACTTGAAAGAAATGTATAGATTTAGTTAAGTTAGAAATATTAAGAGACTTTTTATGGAACTTGTGATGACTTTTAATCATAGAGATGTTCGATTTATCGCAGGTGTGAATTAACGAGTGCCGACTGTGTTTCCAATTATAAAAAAAAAAACTAAAAATTAATACAAAAATATTTTAGACATGAAATGCATTAGATATGCGTCTCGTTATCGTTTCGCCAAATAAAAAAAAATACTTTATCCCTTAGGTCGAAACAATTTCTTATCCATCTTTATACATGTATGTATAACGGCTATTTTCTGATCACACGTATATGTATATATATGTATATTAACATGTTTGCATATTAAAAATATTCCTACGTACATACATACATACATAATATATATTTACATATATGTATGACAGCAAATACAGTATACATTTGTGATCTTTTTAAGGAATGTGCATTAATTTCATTGCTTCCTACTGGGAATAATTTGCAATGTAGATACAACACTCGGGCACATGCATTTATGGGACTGAAATTGTATAACTTTTCTGCAACCTTCAACTTAAGTGTTGCCATATGAGTGTATTCTATTATTTTGTAATTATTGAAAAGTCTCAGAATAGTGCTCCTGGCAAAAAATACTGTTAGGCTCAAAGTAAGTTAGAAACTCAATTAAGTATGATAAAAAAAACTCTTAAAATTCTATGGAATTTCCTCTATTTTTTAATAATTCCAGAAATGTTGTAACTTCAAAAGTTTCGTTTTCATAACTAAAGAACGTTGCCATAGGACTGTTTTATATTACAAGCAATCCAAGTTAAGTATTTCGAAATGACTAATTCTTATTGGGCTTTTCTTAAAATATTTACAAATATTTTACAAGCTGTTTTATTAAAATCAATTCGCGGAATATTTTGCGGTTACAACAACAACAACAATTTCCTTGGTAGTTTGCTAACAACGTTTCTTTGTATTTTCCTCAGCTGCCGCCGGCTAACTCTTTCAGGATCTTCTTGTAGTTCTGCAGTTTTGTGGCAATTGCAGTCGTATGCGGAGTTGTAATTTCTATACCATCGACTGTCACATCGAATTGAAGCCTGTAATCCTTCTAGTGGTAGAGGAAGTTTTGAGTTATCCAAGTTAAACAGCAGGAACCCCTTTATAATATTTTTGACTTTCGATATTTGACCTCAAAATTGTACCGATGATTGACGACCACTCAAGTAGCCCATGGCCCACCTCCCCCGGCGGTAGTGAGGATTCCTCATTGACCGATAGTACTATTGAATGGTTGACTGTGTAAAAAGCTTTTAATAAGTCTAGCACTGCTAGGACAGGGCGCGCAAGGTCGGTTTTGCTTGAGATCTTTAGCTATCTGAGTGTTTATGCAATTTACGGAAACCATTATGATGTACTCCTAGACTCAGATGGCGACTGGCTGGTTTCCCCTCTTAGAGTATCCGGACTAACCTACCCATTTTCCACCTGTCGGGAATTTTTATGATGGTCAGATACAAAATGACAACTTTAGGGGGAAAGTCAGCACCCGTTGCTACTAGATGCTTTAGCATCGGCATGCTTATCCCAACGAGGCCGATGGATTTGTACACTTTCGCTTTTCCGATGATCCGCCAAAACATCTTCCCTGGGGTAAGCAAGCGTCGTTGGTGTTTAGTAGTTTAGTAATTATTAATCTTTAAATATTTAAAACCTCAATTCCTAACATATATTCATAAAACAAGTATTATAAAGTAAAAAAAAAAAAAAAAAATTATTGAAAAAGTAAATGAAAAAAATACAAAAAAAAAAGACTATATAAATAGGGAACAACAAATTTTTTATTCTACCTCTACCTCTTTCGAACCAACAACTGACATTGTCTAACATGAAGATCACTTCATATTTGGCGATACTCGCTTCTCTTCGTTATAGATATTAGTTTTATATGTACGTACGTACATATGTATTATAAATCATCTCACGAGCATTTGGAACTTGTTTGCTTCGTATGTTCCCATTTATACCCAAACACCAATCTGAAAATATGCATATATACATACATACATACATACATGTGTGGTGCATATATGTACATATCTAACAAAAAAGATAAAATTAAGTACACATGTACTTGTTTGGCTAACATTTTTACACCTCAAGTGCTTTTTAGGTGCATTTTCGGTGCATATGCACTTAATAAGCGCCGCTGCTGTCACTGACTTGTTGCTTAAATTTTATTTCTTTTGTTGTATGCATATTTATCACTTATGTACTCGGACATATGTATGTATTTGTACACTGGTTCAAATGGCGAATGGCAAAAAACATCAGTGAATGCCGAATATGAGGAAAAACCGCAGAGTTTGAAAAAGAAATATTTTTTTTTTACTTTCTAAAATTTGAGCTGATATAATTAACATTTGTAAAATTGTATGCAATCATAAAAATGTATTTAGTTCGCAAAATCGATGGGAAAGCGTTCAGAAAAGTATTGCTATTTTTTGAAACCTCTCAAATGATAGGCTTAAGTACAAATAAATTTTAAATTGCATACAAATATTTTGTGGAAGTTGTTAAAGCAAAAATATGTAGGTCAGGGATTTTTAATGAGTTGTAAATAAATTAAATACATTAAAAAATGTATATTCAATTCAATCGATAGTCTAACTAATACACATCTTCTACACAAGGAATGATTATTTTTAAAAATTTTTTAATTTTTTCCACTTTTTCTTCGAGTCAAAATTTTTGTGAACTTTCTAATTCAAGACGATGACTTTTTGATTAGTGACCTGGCTTCGAAAAAGAGCACAAAATAATGACAAAGATCTTTGTCTTAATTTTTGCAAATTAACTTAATCGCAAATAAATGAAGTTTGATGAGCTTATGAATCACAGATAAATTATATATGCAAAAACTTAAGTCGGTATGGAATGCACATATGTATGAATGTACAAAGTTATATCAAAATTAAAAATTAAAAAAAAATGTAAATTTATGAATTGATGAATTTACCTTATAAAACTGTGAGGACAAGTAAATGTATGTAAATGATAAATGTCGTTAAAAATGCCAAATAAGCACTTTTACATGAACTTGTAATTTTATGCTTGGCCTGAGCACAACAGCGATCTTTGTTGTACCTCTATAAGAAAGCGATGTTTGTTTCTTGGTTGTGAAGTAAACTCTTTGATAGCGTTCACTAAACTTTTACACAGTAATTAAGTTGTTGGTAGATGTTTAGTACATATATTTGCAATTTTTTTTATTTATATTCATATATTTTTTTTGCTTATGTACTTATAGTAACTTTTCACAACACGTAATAATTTAGATATACAAATCACGCACAATTCACCCAACGGAGGTGGGATGCACTTGCGTATATCTATTTTAGGCAAGTGACCTTCGCAGCAATTCTTTATTCGTTTGACTTTTTCACAACTATTTGAATTTTCTCAAAACGAAATTTACCACTTCCCGTTGAATAATTTGGCTAAACTAATGATTTATAATTACATAAATTTGTTTAGACAATTTTTCAAACGCCTTTGTTTACTTTCAGCTCTTCAATTTAGAACTACTATATTATTTTTACACTCTACACAGTCATCGAAACGATTATTCTCAACTACTCATCACACGCGCACAAACAATTCCTGTTTGCTTGATTACGGCATATTGTTTTTAGTAACAAAATTCGTTGCTTTATTTTTTATGAATTTCTATTTGTTTGTATTTTTATTTCCGATCGTCTGTTAAACACACCGTGCAACTATTGAATATATAGCTTCGGAGAATTTTCCATCAATGAAAATTTAGGTTTTTTGTTTTTCTTTTCAGTGGATGTGTCGTTTGCTTCCAATTATAATGACAGCTACGCAGTGTTGCATATTCGAGACTCGATTTGTTAAGCAGAGTTGCTTTCTTAAGTATTGCAAACAATTAAAATTTGTATTTGGAAAAATATATTTCATATTTTTGAGATTAGAACTTTCTGAATTTTTTTTAAAGGAGATTAAAATGCATATATTATATATATATATATATGTATTGCATTGAATATACTTTACCGATTTTAAAAATTTTTTCAGTTTTCACAAAACGTTACTTATATTTTGACATAAATTATAGTTTGATTTAAATAAATAGAAATAGTGTTTTACGACAGCAAACGATGAGAAAAGGGCTTTTCGAAACATTATTTCTAAATTTTGAATATCATTTTCACCCTTACCCGCCCATATATTATTAGTGATACTAATACTGTTATACCTAGATATTTAGAAAAAAAAAAAACGTAAATTACACCCGTCTATTGGCTGTAAGTTTATTAGTTTCTTCGAATATATTAGAGCAACCAGAATGAATCCAATTTTTCACACTTCGGAAACGCTTCAACCAAATTTCTATGCTGCAAACCAGAAATTCTATACGAAACCGTTTCAGAATTTAAAGATATAACATTTTTCACTAAGGTTCCATTTAATGCTTATCTAAACCCCCTACATATTCTTTTATAATTTTTCAGCCTTCTTAAAAAACATATTCAATAATACTGATAGTGGAGAGAATTAGCCTGCCTTTCGTTTTACAAATATAAACAAAGCCATTTTTATCAGTTATAAATCTTAAAATCTGCAACTTTATTCAAGTATATACATTTAGAAAGCCCTGTAATATAAAACAGATTGAAATTAGTAACTTGCGTATTTCTTTCACCACACTTATTTTCTAGACACTCACTTGGTGATCAAACCATCTTTCTTGGCCAAACGCACAATACAATCATCGGATTCGCCCATACGACGGATCTCACCGCAGATAGCGTAGGTCTTTGAACCAACAGTCATACGGCCGGTTTCAGGGTCAACATCAACAATGTTTAATTGCACTGAAGCATGATCCTTAGCGTGGATAATTCTGTTGGATGCAGAACTGCAAAACAAAATAAAAAATAATAATTAGTAAGCTTTAAATTGCATTGATGTTCCCATTGGAACAATTTCCAAACACGTGTTCACCTACCATTTACGTGGGCAGTACAAATCAACAGATTCACCGGCGTCGTTCTCCATTTTTGCTACTGTAAATAAATAAAACACCAGTAAAATATCGAACTGACACAAATTTCTAATTATATTTGCTATTTAATTGCAATTAATTGCTTACATTTTATTTGAAATATAAATTCGCAGACACTCGTCAATGGAGGTAGAAAAAGAAAGAAAGAGAAGATGAAAATTTGTTAGTTGGCTGCGCTGCTAAGGCGAAGTTGGGTGCGATTAAGAATGTGATAATGCCATATTAGAGGAAGAATATAAATTAATTTCAAAAATTTAACTCAGAACAAAAAATTAAATGGAATAATTAAAAAAAATCATTTATTAGAAAGCAAAACATAAATAAATAAAAAAACATAGAATAAAACATATAAAACTGAAATTAAATAAAAAAGTGAAGAATAAAAAAATTTAAAAAATTCAAGGTTAATAACATAAGAAAATTAAAAAACCATTAATAAACAAAAATAGAAGAAAATAAGATAAGGTCAATTAAAATAAAATAAGATTAAATCAAAGAAAAAAAAATGAATTGAATAAAAAATTACAACAATGAAGAAGAGAGTTTTTAAAAAATTGATTGAAATAAAATCAATTAAAAAATAAATAAAAATTAATATAAAGTAACATAAAAAAATAATAAAAAAATAAAGTTAAATAACAATAATAAAGTTAATTAAGTGAAGTGGAATATACTTTATTAAAACCAAATAACATGTAAAACTAATCAAAAAAAAAAAACAAAATAAACATTAAATAAAATAGAACAAATTAAGTAAATTGAATTAAAGAAAATAAAATAAAACAAATAAATAAAATTATGTAAATAAAGAGCATACATAAACTCAAATAAAAAATGAAATAAAAAAAAAATAAAACGAAAAATAATAGAAATAAAATTAAAATAAAAATAATGAATAATTGTAAAACAATATAAAATATAACAAGAAGTGAATTAAATATATAAAAAAAATTACTTAAAAAATTTTTATTCAATATAAGTGAAAATAATATATTAAAATAAAAAAAAACGGTAAAACATGTGCATTAAAAAAAAATTAATTAAAACAAAATAAAGACAGAGATATGTTATACGCTTTCGCTGATTTCTGCATTGGGGCTGGTCCTTAAATGAAAAATATGAAGAGAATAATTAACTGCTTAATTTTTTTGCGGGTAATATTTCAAAGGGAAATCAAATTTGATCAAAGTAAAATCTACGATTTTAAATTAGATACTTTTTTTATATAAAATTATATTTTTTTATATTTTTTTTATTAATTATTTAAGTACTCTCTGGCAACGCCAAATACAAATGTCACTAAAGATGATGTCTACTTTTAGGCACTGCGGCTAACAGTTGTGTCCAGACGTCATAATTGTCTGCATGCAAAAATTATCTATTTATTTACATAACTTTAAATAAAAATTTTGGAATATACTTTTAAAATAACTAAAAATGTATTTAAACAAAATAAAGGGAAAATAATTAAAATATGCGAACAAAATTTGGTTAAAATGTGATTGGTTGGTAAAAATATTTTTCTTATGTGAATAAAGAGAGCTTACAGTGTTTACCAAAAGAAAAAAAAAATAAATAAATAAATCGCAAATAAATTTGAACAAAAAATATATATATATAAGTCTTAGTGAGTTTAAGTTAACTAATATTGAAAGGAGAAAAGGTTGGTATACATTATATACATATCTACATAAGTACACAAGTATTACGCAAATAAAAGTACAATATTGATTATAAACTTTCAACAACAACAACAACAAAAAACTCCCTCAAGCTAACCACATTATCGAGCCGTAAAAAAATGAAATCGAAAAAGGGAAAATTCTAAAAACAGACACAAAAACAACATGAGCAAAAACAAAAATAGTAAAACTCTGACATCGCATGTTAAGAACGAAGACTGAAATCAGTTGAACTTTTGACACGCGCTGTCCTCCATGTGTGAGAAGCTCACTCACCCTTCGTCATCCTGCCAGCACTCGGCACAGTCACGCATTCTGACAGGATGCATTTGTGTTGTGGTGTTTTTATTATTTTTAATTGTGCAAGGAGCTAATCGGAATTTTAACGTTCTCTCTTCATGCTGGGGCCAAATGCAACCGCAGGCGTACACATTTACCAAACATTTCGTCTGTCTGATTGCCTCCTTTAGTCACTGGTAGCGAAAAACGGAATTTTCAGTAAATATATATTATGCAAATGTGTGTACTTTAACATAACTACACTTGCTATGTATGTGTGCATATCCGCTAGGGGTTGGCAAAGTGAAAATTCCTGACGCTGCAGGCTTCTCTATCAGCCAACTGGTTAAAAGTGTAGTCTGCCTGTAGGCATAATAAGTTCTGCTATTGCTTCTTCTCATATCTTTTCACCATTTTTTGTTGTTTTAATTTTTGCCGTCTCCATCTCTGTTATAATCTTCCATTCATTCCGTTACTCAGTCTCATCCTCTCCATTACGCTATAGTGCCAACTTGCACACTTCCGCACTTACGCTTAGCCTACTTTGAGGCGTTTAAGCAGAGGTTTGTTTTTGTTCTGCAAAAAACAATTCCCCGTTGAAGAATGAATTTACTAAAATGTCTTTTGTATAAATGCAAGTGCTTGAGTGTGAGCATTGTTTTTCATGTTCGTATGTAACGGGTTATCCATTTTGCGGTTTCGAAAATTAACGTAAATAAATTATATTATATTTTTTTTCATGAAATTCCTTTTTTATTAGAAATTTGTACCTGAAATTTTGCAAACTTCGATCCGTTTGAGGTTATTTTCGACCACTTTTTGTCACAAATTGGGCGGTAGCTCATCCATACCTTGACGAATGTTGGTTTTAAAGTGCTCAAGAGTTAATAGTTTATTCGCTTAAGCACGGTCTCTCGTGTAGCCCCGCCAAAAAACAGTCCAACGTTGTCAAATCGCATCGTCTCGGTGGTCAATTCACGGCGAACACGGCCTGCTCGGCGGAAAATCGTTTCGTCGGTTACATAGCGTCAATTATATATAAAATGGCCTCTCTTCAATTATTTAAGGGTTCTCGGAGTCCCAAATGCTACAACTTAGAGTGAGAAATGTGTCTTTTCGCTGAAAATAATTTTGTTCGTAAAATCGTCCGCCACTGCTTCTTGTTGAAGCATCTAATCGAGGTATGTACGGTGCTGTGAATGGTCAGCTGGTTTCAGTTGCTGTGTGAGCTAGACTTTATATAGATTTAGTAGTAAGTCCAAGTACAAAATTCGCCCAAACGTGCCGTAAGAAAGTCCCAGCTCTGGAGAACGTACAGAAAGGCACATATTCAGCTCTACGCCGTCTTCACGTCCACTTACAGTAGCGATATTTGAGATGGAACGAATAAAACGATGTTGGAAAGGCCTTACGATATCTATAACCGAACCATGTTCTTCTAATTCCTGCAAAAATTTAAAAATTTTACCGATTGCTTGAGGAGTTGGACGATTATGTACACCATAATCTCCACTTAGAGCACGAAAAGTGGCCACGTTTGAATCAACACTTTTGTAGTCAATTTTAACAATTTTAAAGCGCTGTGCTGACGTTGGACGATACATTTTCATAAACGCCTGATTTTGCATAAAAACAAAACATGTTTGGTTTTGGCAGTTAAGTTTTGGAGATGTCAAAACGCAGCCCTGTGTTTTGGAAACCACCAAATGGATAACTCTATATTATTTAGTTTTGATTCCATTGCTTTGTGTTTGTTGCTGTTTTTATTCTAACAGCACTTTAGCGTGCTTAAACGTCATTCACCTGCGAAGTCTGTTTTTATTGCCGACGTTTAAAGGTTGTCGTTGCATTCAATGAACTTTAAACAGCGAAACTGGTGAGCCGTACGAAAACAATAAAAAATTTAATTATTTTAAAAATAAAATGCTAAGGCAGGTTATAAATAGATAAATTAAACATAAATATTGCAATAAATAATTAAATAGTATATAAATAAATAAATATTAAAATAAAAAAAGTAAGGTTAGGTTAGGCTGTGGTGCCTACCGATCTATCGTAACGATTAACACTTAAGCCTGACGAAAATCCATTGTGATGCCACAAAAAATAGAAAATTAGACTTCCTTATGAATGACTTTGTCGTCGGCTATCTTCGAAGAACCCTCCAGTAGAAGTGTCTCTAATATTCCGAAATCTAGCACTGCCCTAAGCAGGACAGTCGAATGTTCAAGAGCTGGGTGTTAATTTCCCTCTACTCATCATGCTTGCAGCTTTTACTTCAACTTCTATAGGGAGTCTATAGTCTCTACGCAGGTCAACCCAGTGTCACTGTGACCTGTGAGGACTATTATTACTATGGACATGTCTAATCTTTTTAAGATGTGCATGTCTTGACGGCCACGGTAGCTGAGCTGTTAGCATTGCGTACTGACATTCGGAATGCTTAGGTTCAAATCCCGGTGCCACCAACATCAAAAAAGTTATGGAAAATTAATAATTGAATAAAAAATTAAGTTAAACTTTCTAATTGTGGTCGCCCCTCGACAGGGAATGTCAACACTTTCGAGTGTATTTCTGACATGAAATAAAAGCTCCTCTTAAAAACCCCATCAGCCGTTCGGAGTCGGCTTAGTATGTATATGAAAACTTAACTGTCGCTGAAAATGAAGATTCTTATCTTTGAAGCTGACTCCGATTTGCTTTGCTGCCCTCTTAATAGCAGATAAATTTGTCTGAGAAATACTGCAATGGGCGTGTAGACTGAAAGACAGTTCAATAGGAGGGTTCCCTGAGATGATACCTACGCCGGCTCTCCTCTTAAACTTTGATCTCTCCGTCTTGTGCTTCCATACTGCCACCCGGAGTGTGGTAATTGTCTTTCCATTCTTCTCTGCATTGTATGTAATTGGACCGGATCGATCTGTAGGGCTTAGCTCATTTATACAATATTTCTGAGTGTTCAATTGATTTGACTCTCTTATTGGCTTTTCCTACCGACTGATATAACCACAATGCCAGTGGCAAAATATTCACTGGCCGTGCTCCTCAGAGCACCACTATTATACATTAACGTACCTCTTTGAATCTTAACTATGAAACTAACATTTGAAGCATTATATATAGCTGGCCACCACACAATCGATCTCTAAAGGAGCGTAGGTCCTACTACTGATATGTATATCCATTGGCAAATCCTGGCGATCAGGCTCCATCTCTTGTTTATGTTTTTATACACTCTTGGAAGTT